AAGATCCTTCAATATTTACCACGATCCACAATCACTGTCTAAAAACTGTAAAAAACTGAAAGAGTACGCTGAAGACAAACCTTATTGTTAAAACGTTAAATCATAATGTGGCATCAATAGTGCTAATAAGATGATATTTCTCGTATAGTTTTAAAAGTAGGATGCTAAATATATCTTAAATCATTTTAGATTTAGTTCTAGTTGATGTACAATTATGACCATCGTATATAGAAATGTTTAACTAAGCTGTAACCGCTTAGTAACTCTTAATCCGATTAGAGCAGCGTCGAATTTGCCCGTCTTGTAAACAAAATCTATGGCAACCGTCAAAAGACTCGTCTGTTACCGAGGCAACCTGCACTGTCGACCGGCTATTACATTTAAATTGCCTCGACAATGCTGTTTTTTGTTTTTAACACGTAGGAGGACAGTTGTATCATATAATTCAGTTAATAACGAGAGATACCTGGCGAAGGCTTAAGACTCGAGTGGGTATCACGTCAAGTGGGCTATGTCACACCGTGTGACAAAGGACATCCTAACAAAACAAGGACGAAGGCTCGAAGACGAAGAAAAAAACAACTACCACCGAGACACCGATGCACTGACGCACGCTATGTTGTGGTTTTTTTCCCCTTGAATTAAAAATAGCAACTTACTTCAAGGAAGTCTTATGGGATGCTTAATGCAAGTCTAGCGTGTAATTGTTGATCGCTAAGCTCATGCAAGTGAATTCCTGGCAAAAGATATCAAATCCTGAGATCTTCACTTCAAGAATAACTGGCTCTTCGCTGGCTTTTGCAATTTGTGTTTGTAAGAAAGTGATACATTATGATCAAAGTCACGGATACAGATAAACACTTGTCTGCAACTGTATACATAATAACCGTAAAACATTAGTGTGATCGATGTACATATTTTGTGTGTATGTGTGTGTGTGTGTGTGTGTGAGAGAGAGAGAGAGAGAGAGAGAGAGAGAGAGAGAGAAAGAGAAAGCAGAGAAAGAGAAAGAAAGAAAGAAAGAAAGAAAAAAAAAGAGAGAGAGAGAAAGAGGGAGGCGTAATAGTATCTGAATGTTAGCGAAAGCGAATTGCGTGAGTTGCGTGCGCGTAGGTGGATCTTCTGATTTGCTATTATTATTATAATTATTATCAACCCACATTTCCGTTTAACCATTATGGAGATAATAATAACCTTTTTGATCGTTACGCTCCTCACTTCGGCTCACCACCTTTCTGAACACTTTATATCGACTCATCTCAGATAGACAAGCAAAACGAAGTACATATGAATATACGAAGTACATAGGAAGAATAAACTATTGAGTGAGTGAGAGAAAGAAAGAGAGAGAGAGAAACAGAAAGAGAGAGAGAAACAGAAAGAGAGAGAGAGAGAGAAAGAGAGAGAGAGAGAGAGAGAGAGACAGAAAGACAGACAGAAAAAAAGAGAATTTTTGCAGATTCGAGGTAATATGCTTAAGGTGTAATCTTCTAACCTATGTTTTTTGTGCTGAAGTTAAAAGGTAAAGAGATAATCCGTATTTACTTATAGGTAGACAAAGAGAGGGTAGTGATAATCATTTGGCAAGAGAGGAAATCAAATAACTGTCAAACTGAGATAACAGCAAAGTTAAACGTTGCCTAGCATACTCTCTCAAAAGTCCATGTAGAAAGGACCAGAATTGAAGAAAATGTCGGTAGACGAATAGCAAGACTGTTGAGAAAACTACGTTTTCGAAAATAACAAGAGACTCGACTGTTTCCCCATTAATTTACATATGAACAAAGGTGGGAATCACAGGAGTTAAGAGATTAAGTAGGGCCGAATTGGAGTCTCCCGAAGGTTTGAAGGAAGATTGGAAAAAAGAAAGAGTGAAAATGATTTAGCCCTTGAAGCCTCACAATGGAGGCGCCAATGAGAATGAGTTTTTGACTTGTCAAGAGAAGAGGGCCACACAAGTAATATTGTCGGGTATTACTCCGGTTGTATGGAGTCTGTTTGTCTACCACTTGATATGTCAAGTGTTAGTCGACCACTTAGCATTGTCTACCGGCCACCATTCATTTCGACCCCATTCCACCCTGGTGTAAAAACCGACGAAATGGCGAAGCGGGACGGGCAAATCGATGATAAGGAAATGGTTACAGTTTCTACAATTAAAACTTGTGCTATTTGCGGAACAGTCGTCGACGGTGGACCGTCAGTGCGCGTGTAGACGCGACGACGAATTTGAATATCCCCTTGGGTCGAAACAGACGATATGCTATGCCCAGAGACTGCATGTCTAAATTAATATCCGAAGACAGCGTAATCGGACAACAAACACGGGGACGCGAGGATTGAATACATAATGAGTGAATATGATTTGAATTAATTATACGAGAGTTCGGACCGGTCTTTTTGCCTTCACGAGATTAAGTGTGTGAAAATTTGCAAAATAGGACTGATATCAACTTTATAGTGGACTCTTGGATTTTCGACAGAATCCACGCCCATTTGGGTTACGCAACGGTTTTATTTGATGACTTTTATAATTTATTGAGGCATTAAATGACGCAAAATTGTGAACTATTAATGAAACAATAAATACACTCTTTCGCGTCGAAACTCAGAAATCGCCAAAAATAAATCTTCAAACCTTACACAATGATCTTAAATACTTTAATTTTTAGTTTGGTCGGACTCGTTCTGTTAAATGATGCAAGGATAGGACGACCAAAATAATCCTCAATGCCCATAATAATGGCTCATTTTCTCAATCTCACAATTTAAATATTTTATGTCAAAATTATTTTCTTTAATTTAACCGACTAATTTATTTAGACAAGTGATTACTATTAACTAGTTTTTCATGTCTGGTTGTTTCTAATGTATAATAAATAGTAATTATTTTGTAATAAATAATATAATCTCATTGACTGCATTTGTACTGTTTATTAATTTTAATGCTCTTTCGATTTTGTTTTTATTGACTTAACATATAAATCTGGAAATAAATACACAGAAAGTGGAGTTAAAAGAAACAAAGCAATTAATACTAAACCAATTGGTTTGTTTAAGGGTTGTAACGCAAAATATACAAACTATTCCAATTGTAAACATGCAAATATATATAAAAATCTGAACCTACAAACAAGCTAAACTAAACAAGTACAGAGTACAAATAACAAAAGTCAAAGCAACCAGGGAGCAAACCAAACTATTAATTTACAAAAATACTCAAGATGGTTAAAGAAAACTTAAATCCGAGTGGTTTTGGGTTTTCAATTTAAATGCATTTCTATTAGCATTGGAAAAGCTTACCAATACCACAAAACTACTGTTTTAATTTACCACTAACATCTTCAGTGTGTAGTTGATATGTTGGCTTGTTTGCTGACTTAAAGTATACTTTAAATATTTATTAAAATAGAGCCCTATCTAAATGTTTATTTATTAAATTATAAAAAAATTGATACACCACTTCGCAAATATTAAAGCATGAAAGTGTTTTTGGACGTGCCAATCGCCTATTAACCTATCAAAAAAATGAGCATGTTATTTTGTTATATAAAGGAATTTACCATATTATCTAAAATGCTTATGTTCTAGACTATATACAAATAAATTAAATTATCAAAGAACACAAACTGTAAGCGTGATAATCTGTGAGTATAGAACAAATTACTTTACTAAATTACCCAAACGCGGTAACTGTTAAATTCTACAAAGTCGATTTATTTAACATTAAGGTTAAGTAGAAACATTTAAATATTAAAAACAAATAAAATTTCCCATCTACGTAACTATCAAAATCAAATTGCATTAAGAGTTTAATATTACTGGGTACAAACGAAAAATAACGAAAATTTAAAAATTTACTGAAATATAAAATTCGTATAAGTCAAAATTCAAATCAATTCATCTGTCTTAAATTATTGTTTCAAGTTATTAAGGGAAACAATCTGAGATTTGTTTAAGCGATATCTGTAGATAAATCGAATAAGTGTCAGCTAATTTAAATGGTTTTTATTTCGTTTATATAAATACATTACGATTATATTAAAAAAAAAAGATATTTTTATATCTTATTTCTTCTTTATATAATCAGGTGTTGTTGTAAATGTCGTGATCCTATCAACTAAGCTTTCTGACCTTGAGAATTTAAATATAATGCTTTCCTTTTGTTCATGAAAGTAAAAAAAATGATAATAACTTTTATTTTTGTGACAGGATTAGTTAATGTTCAGAACTGTTGTTTTTTACTTTCTTTCTCCAGTTGGCAAAGAGTTGAATGCCAAGGGGAAGGCGTCTAGCCGGTTCGCAGATGTGCAGGGCGTGGCATCGGGTTGACATTTCCCGAACTTTGACGAAATTGTCACGCCGGTATAGAGAGAAGTGGCCAACCTTGAGCCCACTCCGTATGTAAATCCGTTAGGGAAAGGGGAACAGGGAGACAAATCGTTCCAGAGACCGGCCCTGGGAAACATTAAGGTGGCTCATTAGGTCCGGAGAATAACTCAGGAGTTAATGGAAAGGCATCCTTAAACCGTGGGGGAGGGGCTGCCCGTGACATTTCCACCTATGCCTTCCAAGATTATCATGGCGGATTTGGATTACCTCATGGTGAAGAAGAGGAAGAGGAACAATCAATAACATCTTACTAGTCACCATAACCATAGCAGAATTCATACTCCACATTACGGCTTAAAACTGCCATTGACATTGGTGATAAACAAACTATGCTTTCACATTCTCTATAATTTCGTGCATGTTTAATAAAACATGGACTTCACTCAAATTTTCACTATAACACCTCCACATTGTGACATAAACCTAACATTGTTCAAAACTGTCCCCCTAACAACTTCAACCAAAAATAACCAGAACCGTACATTACGATCTTAAGTCTCAACGTCATTCAAAAATGCCATCATAACTCGTTAACAACAAACAACCAGAACAAACCTCATACTGTTATCACGACCTTAAGTTATGTTAATTCATCATTCGTTCTGAGAAGTTCATTCAGATCACACTACTATGGCACGTACGAAGCAGACAGCACGTAAATCCACCGGAGGAAAAGCTCCGAGGAAACAGCTTGCTACCAAGGCAGCCAGGAAGTCGGCCCCGGCCACCGGAGGAGTAAAGAAGCCCCATCGTTACAGGCCCGGAACTGTCGCCCTTAGGGAAATCCGTCGGTACCAGAAGAGCACCGAGCTCAGGAAACTGCCGTTCCAGAAGTTGGTCAGAGAAATCGCTCAGGATTTCAAGACCGACTTGCGTTTCCAGAGCTCTGCGGTCATGGCCCTTCAAGAAGCTTCTGAAGCCTACTTGGTCGGTCTCTTTGAAGACACCAACTTGTGCGCCATCCACGCCAAGAGAGTCACCATCATGCCTAAAGACATCCAATTTGCCAGGCGTATCCGTGGGGAACGTGCTTAAGCTGTTTTCCTGCCAAATTTCAATGGCCTGTTGTAAAGCATAATCTTTCACCGTTTTTCACGGTTTGCAACAACGTGCATAATATAATACGGACCTCATTCTAAAATGACATCATTACAACTAGACTTCAAAGTACTACTTCATTCGAACGTTTCAGCTTGGATTAAAGTTCAAATAAAAGAGGTGACCATGAGAAACCTTATCAGATTTTTCATTTCTTCGAACTGACCAAAAGATAATGACTTTTACAGCTAAATTCATAAAAATCCACCAAACAGAGGCATTTTTATGCATGCATTCGTTCATTATTTTCACCAACAAAGTCTGCTAAACCAACAAATATGCACAAAATTAAATAATTTAAGGATCTTGGAAAGATTTTGTTAAAAAAATATATTTAACTATAATGCAGTGTAAAAACAGTACCATAAAGAGCGTTGGTACAACCAGGAAAGAAAAACCTGACAACTTCGCATTATATTGGACCGATATAAATGTTGTTGTTAAATCTAATAGATCAATCTTCAACAAAACAAACTTTTATAAATATTAATCCAAAAAACGACACACACAACGCGCGCATACACACATTCAAGATGGATATTCGAGTAAGGTACACCATCTGTAACAAAGCAAACAATTTCTATCGACAAAAGAGGTTTGGAGAATAAGCTCCTCTAGGGGTAAATTGATAATATAAACAATTAATATTTGTAACTGTATTAGCCGAAGGGAAACCCTCCCTCTCTGTAATCCTTGTTGGCCAAAATGCGGACAAAGGGTTGGAAAGGGCCTGTAACAACAAGATGAGTAAACTGCCTTAGGCCTCGAGAGCCGTATTGACTGAAGAGCCGGTATTCACTAGTCTGTCCACCGCTCCGAAAACAAAACATTAAAAAAAAAAAAAAAACAAGTTAAGAAATATCGAAAATCAAAATTTGACTAAAATTGTTATCACTTTTTTGGAATGGTTTTGGGAATGACATGGTTCAACAAGTTGAACAGGACAATAATTCTCCTAAGTCGATTTTGCCATGGAGGACATTAAATCCTGGCCTACTAAAACCTATTGGACCGACCCTGAAGATAAATGGGTTAAGACATCTGCATTTTTATTGAACAATCAGTTGATCGTATAACTCTGATTTAAAAAAGACAATAATAATAACCTCTCAAGTATTTTTTTTAATTAATTTTTTTTCAATTCTTATCGTCTCACCAGATATCGTTTTTAAATGTAGTAGTCGTAGTACTGGCAATGTTTATTCACTATATTTATTCAATCAAAACACTAAATAATCAAACAATCTTACTTTATTAAATTTTTATCTCAATAAAAATTTTTTTTTTTTAACTTCCTGCCGCCCACTTTAAATAGATTAAATTAGTTAAACAAAACAATATGGTCTGTTGTGGAATAATATGCACGGAATTTTGCTTGAAATTAAATTAGTATTTAGTAATTACTTCATGTGTCTATTTATTAACTCTGCTACAATTTGTTTAGCAACAACCCCGTGAAAATTTTTGCTCCGTCATCAATGAAAGAGAATATTCTGTAACAGCCACATCTTCCTTGTTTCTTTTTTAGGCAATGGAAATATAAACAAAAATTTTGAAATTTAGGTACTCGATTTCTGAATTATAAAATTCATTTGGAACCGAATGAAACTAACATCCAGAAAAATATGTGGGGAGTGTATTAAAAAAATCCATAAGGTTCATGTTTACAAAGCACCAGGTTTTCCATTTTTAGCTTTTAATAGAACTTGCAATTCAGAACTATAAATTCTGTGTCCTATACATTACCGTTGAAAAAAGTTTCCATATAATATATGGATAGCGTTCTTTTTTTTATTGTATAACCATTCGAAATAACTTAAATTCTTAAATATTAATGTTCTTTTTGCAAATGAACCTTTTTTAAATATTTTAACAGAACTTCAAAATAGTTGAGAATCATTTGCTATTTTGAATTTACCAATTAACGATAGAAAATAATGCTTCTTGTTTAAATTGCAAAGGTTTTTATTCAATTACAGCTTTTTCAAATACAGTTTTTTGTAATATCAGAACTGATTCTTCTGAACAGAATTATTCATAAATACTTTATTTCTCTTTAAAACAAACCGAGTCAAATCATTCTTTTTTTCTGCCTGGATAATGAATATTTAATTTACAGGAAGCTGATGTTTTCTATTATATTGAAGAATTCTAATAATGAATCTCCACAAATTTTACTCTCTTATTCCAAACAACAAATTTCATTTTCATGTTCATCTTTACAATTTTCTATAGTTCGTTTTTCTCCGAAGAAATTTTGAAAGCAAGGGCCATTATACTCTTACTCTTATTCGTTCTTATTAGATATCATATCATTATATTATATTTTAACTGTAATAGAAAGATGGTCAGAAAAGATTTCTGGAATCACTCCAAGTCTTTCACTTTAGACAATATTGAGGAACTGACAGAACATAAATCATGAACCGGCGAACGCATTTTTCCAATAAAAATACATTCTACCAGTTCATCACCATTAACCCTAACATTTAAAATAACTAAGTTGTACTCCTCACAAATATCAAGACATTTCCGATTCTTAGTATTAGTAATTCCTAATGTATCTCTTTACCACGAGATTTTTAGATTACATAATATTTTTCTTCCAAATTATTACATTTAAACTAGAAATGGGTGATATTTAGTGACCGTTAGTTAATGATTATTTGAAGATCGTGAGATGCGGTTTGGTGTGACATAGATTTTAGAAAAACGTTTTCTTTATCGTGCCAACGTTTCGATCTTTATTGAGGTCATTCAGGGCTCAAAATGTTTGTTTTCTGCGTAATTGTATTATTTTTGTGTTGGCACTATCAACACGACACGCAGTAATGACACAATTACGCAGAAAACAAACACTTTGAGCCCTGAAGATGATCTCAATAAAGATCGAAACGTTGGCACGATAAAGAAAATATTTTTCTAAAATCTATCTCACATCAGACCGCCTCTCACGATCTTCAAATAATCATTTAAACTAGAATTGTGCTGTAAATTATACTTGTTTAAAAAATAAATAAAAAATGTGGATCGAAGTCACGATAGCTCAAGTGGCAGAGCAGCGGCGTACTTAGCCGAAGGTCGTGGGTTCGAATCCCGCTTGTGACAATGACTTTTTTATCTCAACTAAAAATCGTAATTAATTAAAAAATATTAACTGGTCAAGCAGACCACGAAAACTAGTGAATAAAAAAATATTAAGGTTTAGGTAACTTATGAGACATCAAACATGCAAACATATGTACAATTGGGCTAGTAATTGGTCAAACGGACCACGAAAACTAGTGAATTTCATAAGTACAATTCAATAACAAGTTATTTGTTCAATTGCGTTAAGGGTCTACAAGTTGGTGGTCTGTTAGTCATCAGTTCTGCTTTGCCATAAGACTGTTGCTAACATGAGAATCATTTTAGTCAATGATAACGTTAAGTTTATATTACAAAGAATATATTATCAGTTTTTTAATTTACCCATCATGTGAAAACTGCTGAAACTGTGACGTGTCACGTGAAGTTCTTTTTTTTTGTAGTCATTATTCCTCGTAAAGAAAGGAATAAGGAAGAAGTATAAAGTGTCGAAAAGGGTTGTAACCGTTAGATAAGGGCGTGAGAAGTGGCCGTGTTTGGTTATCAGCCGGGACCACGTGGTTTGTAATTGGCGTCCGATCCAACCCTTTGATAGTGTCCCATGATTAATCAACTACAACCCTTTTTGTGCCTGTCACCACCTTCATAAACACTCACGCAGCCTCGCTCCAATAACTGCACACTTCCGTCGAAACGATTACGAAAGGCATAACTTAAAAAATAAAATCGTCCGCGCTCCGGCAATTAACCCGTCTCCCTAATATTACTTTATTATCGTTGATAATTAACACCTTGCGACGACAAGCTGTACTTTTCCGTAATTAATTAATTTGGGATTCATTTTGTTCATGAATTAGGGGAATAACGGAGTGTGTGCTCACCGCACAGGAAACTGCAGTAGATTTCTTCTAGTTAATAATTCATTAGGCGCAAAATAAAAATGAATTAAATATATTTAAGCTAGCCTCAAACTGATCGATTTCTAAAAAATATTCTGAACGAACAGAAAACTTGAATATAATAACAATATATTAATAAATACATGGCACGATTCACATAAGAGCCCACACATTTTTTTTTTGTGTGTTTTGAAATCAGGTATTGATAATTTAATTTATGATTTCTAAAAAATATATTTTAATGCAGTGATACCATTACCACTATTATGTTTAATAAGACAATTCAATTTCATAAGACAATCAGGCAATTCTTTAATTCAAAATATTTGGATGATCAGCAGGCTAGATTATTTTATTTTATTTATACATAGAATATCTCCATTAAGGAATATGAATATTTAATGTAAAAATTACATTGTATATATGTTATTCGACAAAAAATAAACGTTATTGCCCATTCTTGTGATTGCAACTCAATTCATTAACAAAAAATTATTTTTATTATATTTAAGTTGAAAAACGGTAATTTTTAAAGTTTATCCCGTTTTCGCCGTAATTCTATCTACTTTACCCGTTGAGTGGCATGAACAAGAGGTTAAATGACTTTACAATAATAGTTTAATATTTTTCACAATTAAAAAATCATAGGCTGTTCCGGGATTTGAACGCATGACCGCTAGGTGGCAAATAGGAGTAGGACGCTCTCAATCGGCCACCAGGGTCCTCTGCCAAATTATTATTTATATTATTTTGAATTTTTATTTCAGTCTTTATTTTCATGAATGATAGACAATACAAAATAACATAATATTATTTTAACAGCTTAAAGACATGACTATGGTATTAAAGTTTTTTTTTTGTTTTTGTTTGGGGAGTCTTGATACGCTTGCATTTCGACCAACTTGAACACAAACAAACTAAAATTTTACCCTTCATACCTTTACATAAACAAAACGAACGAAACAACTATACAATTACTGATTTCAAAATTACAAAACTATTGTTTCTTACTTCCATATTCAAACAAGTTGCGATCTCAATAAATATGCTTGTTTACAATGTTCACCATTTTTTTCGATTTAGATTCACAAACACTTCTGCTCCAGAATGTTGTTCTTAGCCTAGCCACTTTACCCTTATCTGTGATAACACGGGGCATATAGCTATAAAATGGTACATTTTCCTTCCATAAGCAATACAAGCATCGAACACACTTGATTTT